TCTGAGACAGACAGACAGACCGACAGGCCTCAGTGCCAGGAGGGGTCCCAGGAGGGTGTGGTGACAAACAGAACAACCCGAGTCATCCAACCCCAACCGTCATGAGATAAGGAGGAGCCTGTGGGAGGGTGGGGTGGGGGAGCTGGGGGCAGAGGAGGGCACACCAGACCTGGGACTAGTGTGTGCCAAGTCCCCGAGGCAGGACTGAAGGGGAGGCGGGAGAGGGTCCAGGTCCTGCTAGTTCTGCTGGTTGTGAATTTTCTCCTTGGAGTCCCTTCTGGAAGCCCGGGTTGGGGGAGTGGGAGGTGGGGGGAAGGGAGTAAGCTGGGGAGGGACTGCTCTGATCTATTTGAGCAACCTCTCCCTCACTGTGATGAGACAGGGTCATGACTTTTTTTTTTTTTTTGGTCATGACTTTCAAGCTTGCAGGGAAGGAGGTGCTTCGGTTCTCCCAGTGCCGGGGCACCCTCATGGGGCAGCTGATGGGACAGGACGCTGCCGGGGAGGTGGAAGTGGAAGTTAGTGCTACCAGCTCATCACCCGCAACTTGGCCCGGGACTGGATGTCCACAGATCATTCAGGATTTCCATCCCCACTGCCAAGACCCCTACCCTCTGTCTGTCTCAGGGGCGGGGAGCTGCTGGCCATTTTCCGATGCAGGGTCCTGTGGGGAGAAGGGCTGTGACTCCTACTGTCACCCTGTGGACGAGGGGGTGGGGTTTCAGCCAGGAAACCTTCAGCTGGAAGGTAGTTTCTCGAGGGAGCAGGGCCTAATGGTCAGGAGGCTGGTGGGGGTGGGGGGGTGGGGCTGAGGCTCAGGGGCCACACTCAGCATTTGTTTCCCTGGTGTGAGTGCCTTGTGGACCTGCTGCAGCCTGACCCCAGGAGAGGACCAACCAAGACTCCCCCAAACCAAGCCCGCCGCAGTCAAATCACCCGGGAGGCCCCCAACCCTCCTGCCCTCCCCCCACACCCTTTGGAGAGTCTAGTGGAGCAGAATTTCTTACTATGATCCCCTCTCCAAGTCTCTAGGGAGCCCACGTGGTGTCATGGCTAGGTGTTGGGTGACTGACTACCTGCAAAGGCAGCAGTTCGAAATCATCAGCTGCTTTGCAGAGGAAGACGAAGCTTTCTACTCCTGCAAAGATTTACAGTCTTGGAAACCCAATCAGAATGGACTGACGTCAGTGAGTTTGTGGTTGAGTTTTATCTAGGGCTCTGGAACGCCCACGGGATGATTGGGTGGGGCTATGCAAATAGGGCATGTGTAACACTAGGAGAGGTGATTGGTCCGGTTTAGTTGCCTCTCCTCTAGTTCCAAGGTTGAGCCATCTCAGAAGAAGAGAGAGAAATCCCTCCACCACTGGGGGAAAGAACCCCACGAGGCACCTTGGAGATCTCTGTTGAAGAGGCAGAGACCTCCTGCCCCACAGAGGCAGAGTCTCAGGGACCACCTGGCTGAGAGGCTGAGGACCCGAGAGAGAGACTTGGCTGCTGGCTGAGGAGAGGTGTGGCTGTGGCCCAGTGACTGTGTCCTCACTGCTTAGGAATGCTGGCTTTTGGTCACCTGTTAACTCCCCTCATCAGCCCCCTTCACCGTGAGTATTGTCAGGGAGTTCTGTGTGGCCACGGCCCCAGCATCGATGTACCACACATTTCCCTTGTTTGAAGGTGCAATTCACTAGTGATTAGTATGTTCGCAGAGTTGTGCCGCCATTACCACTAATTCCAGAACATTCCTCCTCACCCTCCAAAAGAGCCCCAGTGTCCAAGGGCAGTCACTCTCCACCCACCCCACTTCCACATTGCTTCACCCCTCATGCCCAGCAGGCATTAATTCACCTCCTGTCTGGATTCACCGAGTCCGAACATTTTTTTATAGAGCCCGTGACACATGTGGCCTTCTGTGGCCGGCTACTTTCCCTGAGTAATATGTCTTCCAGGTTCCCCCATGTCGTCACATACATCGGTGTTTTGTTTCCTATGTTTCCACTTGTTGGCTGTTAAGCATCATGCTGCTATGAACACTGGCACGTGTGTCTTCATATGGTGTGTTTTCATTTCTCGTGCATGCATTCCCACTCCGGGAGAGGATTTGCTGGCTTCCATGGTCACTCTATGCTCCGTCCTTAGAGGAAGTGCCAGACTGCTTTCTGAACTAGCGGCTGCTTGACCACCACAAGGTCAACAGTTCAAAACCACCAGCAACTGTGAGGGAGAAAGATGAGGCTTTCTATGCCTGCAAAGAGTTCGTCTTGGAAATCCACAGAGGCAGCTCTGTCCCTGTCCTATAGGTCCACCATGTGTCAGAATCAACTCAAAAGCAAGGAGTTTTGAGTGACCAGCGGCATCGGAACCTTCTGTCTTCTCCGTTTCCTTGTCAACACTTGCTATTATCTGTCTTTTCCAGAGATCCTAGTGGGTGTGAAGTGGTACCTCATTGTAGTTTTGATTAGTATTTTCCAGATACCGGGTGATATTGAGCCTCTTTTTCAAGTGCTTATTGGACACTTGTGTATAACATATGCAGTTTGAGAAATGTTTAGTCGAGTATGTTGCCTATTTTTAAATTGGGTCATTTTTATCTTTTTCTGGTTGAGTGGTAGTAATTCTTCACATATTCTTCATACAGGCTCCTGATGAGACATAGGAGCTGCCAGTAATTTCTCCCACTATGTGGGTAGTTTTTCCCCTTTCTCAATGGCATCATTGACTGAACAACAATGTTAATTTTGATGAAACCCAATTTATCTCTCTCTCTCTTTTACTTTTGTTGCCTGTACTTTTGGTGTTGCATCGAAGAAGACTTTGTCTAACTAAAGGGCACAATGATTTACTTGTTTTCTCTGAAACATTTATGGCTCTTGCTTTTACAGTTAGTTCTCTGATTCATTTTGAGTCACCTAGTGTATGGCTAGGGCGCATGTCAACTAGACACTCCTGGGTAAGAGTAGGGGGGAGCTCAATCTAGCGATTTCATCTCAGTCTGATGACACCTGCTTGGTGCCATAAACTTTTTTTTGTATAAGAGAGAGAGACAGAGCAGAGTCAAATCTTCTTTGGCCCTTTGCCTTCTGCCTGAGCTAAATCTTGTTTCTGGTCTCTTGATCTCCTGTTGAGTTTTCTGCTGATCCCAGAAACCGTCAGTGGAGCACCGACAGTGGATTCATTCAGCTGACTTTGGCCTGCTGCATCCACCAGCCTGTGCCCCATGCTGTCTCTGCTTCTTCCTCCTACTTCCTGTTCATCAGCTTCCATGAGTCAGGAGAAGCCTGGGTGGGACTGGACTTATCTATTTGTACAAATGTGTGAGCCATTTCTGGATAGGAATCTTTCTAGAGACAGCACACACAAGTGTCACTGGTTTGGTTTCTCTGTTAAGAGAACCCCACTTAACACACCTACTGAGTTATTAAGGGTCCCTGGCTGGCCCAAACAGGACATGGGAGAAAGATGTGGCCTTGGCTTCTGGAAGGATGTACAGCCTTGGGCTGTACTGGGGGCAGTTCTAGCCTATCCTCTAGGGCTACTGTGTCCAGCAACAACTTGACAGCAGTGGGGCTTGTTTTACACGAAGCCAAAAAAGTTGGTTATTCCAACACAACCAAAGGTACCACAGAAGACAGGCCTGGCGACCTGCTTTTATAAGGACCGTGGCTAGGAGTCCCCCATGGAGTAGTTTTCTTCTGTAACTTGTGGGGTCTCCTTGAGTCTGACTCAACTTGACAGCAATGGGTTTGGCTTGGTTTTACTGGGTTATAAGCACATTAAAGACCTAGCAGCAGTCCTAATGGCTTGGGTGATTGGGGGGTGGGGAGAGGAGAAAGGAGGTTAGGGAAATGTTTTTTGGAGAGGTCTCCCACAATTGCAACTTGACTAGACAGTATCATGATTTCTAGGGGTGTCAGAGTAGCAGATACTGCTAATACTGTCTATATTAATAATTGAAGAAAAAGCTAGTTCTCAGTTAAAAGTGAGTCTAAATAAAGCTTTAATTACTCTTCCCAAGTTCATGGTTCCCCTGAGTTCTATCCACAGAACTCTGGGATGGCAAAAATTCCTGTTGGGAGTCTTTCATTTTCAAGACTAGCCTTCTGGGAGTTTAATCCCTCTCACTACTCACTTCAGATCTACTCTGTCTTCCCTGTGACCCCTAGCCCCAGCCCATACTGCCCTCTGTCTGGCTCCATCCTTGGGGAAGTGATTCCTTACCAAGCAGAATTTTCAAACATGCCTGCTAATCATATTTAGATGAGGACATGCTAATAGCAATAAGATTTCCAAACACTGTGTGTTTAGAATTCAACAAGGCCTCTTGCAGACGTCCTTGCACTTTGTCTTCTCAACAGTTCTCCAGTGAACAACTGGGATGTGCCACGTGCCTCCATTGGTCAGCAGAATGACTTTAGATCGATTAAACCAGTCTGTGCCTCAGTTGGCTTATCTGTAAAGTGGGCATGAACATAATGGTGCCCATCAGATGGGGTTATTATACAAATTCAGTGAGTCCAGAATGGTGATGACTTATTTGTTTGTTAGTTCGTTTCTATGGAAAGGTGTTGAATTGTGTGGATCATAACAATTGCCAAGAATGGGAATTCCAGAACATTTTATTGTACTTTTGCTTATTCTGTAAGGCCAAGTGACAGTTTAACAGAACTTAGGGGCTACTGTGTAGTTTAAAATCAGGGTTGTATTCGTTCCCCATAGTCATTCAATCTGTTTGCTGAACAAATAATCCAAGAAGCTGGACTATATGAAGAAGAATGTAGCATTAGTATTAGAGAAAGCCTCACTAACAGCCTGAGGTCTGCAGATCATACAACCTCGTTTGCAGAAAGTAAAGTGGACTTGAAGCACTTACTGATAGAGGTCAAGGATGATAACCTTCAGTGCTGTGTTAGGCCGGTTTGACTAGAGAAACAAGCCCAGGGACCCGCATATATATGTAAGAAAAAGCTTTATATCAAGAAGTAATTGGATATCAAGAAAGCATCCCAGTGCTTGCTTCGGCAGCACACGTACTAAAATTGGAACGACACAGATAAGATTAGCATGGCCCCTGTGCAAAGGATGACACGAAAATTTGTGGTGTCCCGTATTGAAAAAAAAAAAGGAAAAGATTTCAGCCTAGTCCAAAGCAAGTCCATAAGTCCAATACTAGTCCATAAACCCCTCTTCAGACTCACGCAGCCACAAGCAAGGATGCAAAATGCAGGAAGATCACAGGCTGGTGGGTGCAACATCTTGTGGATCCAGTGGTGATGGACGCATCTCCAGGGCTCCTACAGGTCTCTAGCAGGTCTCCATGTTCACCAGCAGGAAGGTGAAACAGAGAGAGAGGGAGTGGTTCCCAGGACCCTCCTTATAAGGAGGTCACGCCCACAAGAAGGCACCTTCAGGTTCTGATCTAATTGACAGGCTAGACTCCACCTCTACACTTCAAGTTGATACAAAATTATGTAACTACAACAAGTATGGATTTCATAATAGAAGGAAAACACAAATCTCACAATTGGACCAATAAGCAACATCTTGATAAATGAGGAAAAGGTTGAAGCTGTCAAGAATTTAATTTTACTTGGATCTGAAATCAACACTCATGGAGGCAGCACTCAAGAAATCGAAGAATGTCTTGCATTGGGCAGATCTGCACAAGACCTCTTTCAAGTGTGGTAAAACAACGGTGCATTTTACTTGTGCCATGGTATTTCAATGGCCTCATCTGTATGAAAACCTGGACAATGAATCAGGAATCTCAAAGGACACTGGATGTATTTGAATTGTGGTGTTGGTGAAGGATACTGACTATGCGATGAACCGCCAGAAGGATGAACACTTTTTTTTTTTCTTGGAAGGGAGGATGGTGAGACTTTGTACTATGTGTTTTGGGCATACGCATTAGAACTTGCATTCTATAGCCTGTGATGTGTGGCTTCGACATGTTATCAGGGATGGCCAAGCTCAGGAGGAGATTGTGCATTGTAAAGTCGAGGGTTTGGGTGGGTTGTGGGAGAGGAAGACACTCAAGAGGTGGCTTGACACAGTGGCTCCAATAGGGTGGGCTAGTGCACATTCTGTTGTATGTAGCATCACTTGAACCAACTCGATGGCACCTAGTCACAGCTGTCTGCAGTGAGAGCCCCAGCTCCATTTTGAGTCTCGATCTAAAATTAGAAGCCATTTGATTTGTCACTTCCCCAAGGTTTTGTTACTCCCCCAACCTCACGAGTTCAACAATGTGGCTCTGCTTCGATAAGTCCAGGGCCAGCCCAGGGAGGGACAGTTTGCCCTCACAAAGAGTATAGTCCAAAGCAGATGAACTAGTGTGCAGAGAGATAGATGCTCACTCAAAGAACTAGGGAATTTGCCTGGTCATTTCCTCCACAAACGTAACAAAGTAGGTGTGGTACCTAATTTAAGTGAGAGCTTGGGGTCATGAGTCATACCCTGACTTGCCATTTATGCAGGCACTCAAAACCCCAGGACCAATCCTGCAACCTTTGAAAACTTGCTATTATGAACATAGCCCAATCATGGTCCTTCCCCTCCCCCCACACCTTGCCTAGGACAGGGATGAGTTAACCTATCACCAATCAGGATTTTGTGATGGTTTCTTTTGCTGACTATCCTATATAATGATAAGCCACGCTGTGATTTCCTGGGTTTTATTGGCCTTTGTACTGTGTGTATGCTGACAGTCTCTCTCCTCCTGGAGCTGGTCTGCGTCTTGTTTTAAGCTGAATTAAAAACTATAGGGATGCAGTGGTGTCGGGCTGCTAATCATAAGGTCATCAGGCCAACTCTACCAGTTGCTCTGTGGGAGGCTTTCTACTCCTGTAAACAGTTAGTTTCGGAAACCTACGGGGCAGTTCTACTCTGTCCTAAAGGATGGCTATGAGTCGGAATTTACTTGATGGCAATGAGTTTGGTAGCGAATATATCAGAATCTGGGTTTTTCCCCCCTCATGTTATTAACAGGGATCAGTCCTTAGAGGAGGGCGCCATGCTTGATAGAGGGCCAGCAAAAATAAGGAAAACCCTCATAGACATGCGCTGATTCGAACCGCAACGGTGAGGATAGTGCAGGACCGGGCAGTGGTTTTTTTTCTTAGACTTGCGGTTGCTATGAGTCAGTACCAACTCCAGGCCATCTACCAACAACAGGCCCTGGTGGTGTAATGGTTAAAGTTCTTCCCAGCTAACCCAAAGAGGACGGTTATATCACCCCCCAGCTGCTCCATGGGGAAAAAAGTGTCAGCTGGCTCTGTAAGCCTTGGAAACCTTCTGGAGCAATCCTACTCTGTCCCTACAGGGTCACTATGAGTTGGGAACTTGTGGGCGGGCTTGATGGCATCAGTTTTAGCACCCTGATCTAAGAAAGGGAATTCTCTCCAAGGAGTTCCTGGAGTGAGTCCTGGGAGGACCTTGATTGGCTGGTGTAGGTCATGTGCATAGCTCTCAGCCAATCACCACAGCTCAAGGGCTGAAGGCGTTTTTGATTGGCTAGAGCTGTGTCACATGCTATTGAGATGGGCTGCCACAGGAAGAAGCTCCAGAGGTGAAGCTGGGATGAAGTTCCACGAGGTTCCTCATTGGGCTTATTTCGGGCCTTAGGTGGACGCCACTTCTTTCTGGAAGTCTCTTGTCACTCCCCAGACTGGACACGCTCCTGCTCTGTGCACTCCCAAACCAAACTGGCATCGAGTTGATTCCCGCCCTTCACGACCCCATAGGATAGGCTACAACTGCCCCCGAGGGTTTCTGAGACTGTTAGAACGCCTCCTCTTTTGCGTGAGGAACGGCTGGTGGTTTCAAACTGCTGACATTGTGACTAGGAGTCGAAAGCATAACCACTGCCCCTCCAGGCTTCTTGCACCCAGTATTCCTTATCATTCCTTCCTCACTCAACAAGTCCTTGATGAGCACCTACTATGGGCCAGGCACAGAGCAGGAAAGAAGGCCCAGGTTGCAAGGGGTGGTGGGTGGTGGCCCTCCGAGCAGTCAGTGAGGGAGGCGACAATTAGCTGAGAGTGGTGGTCAGACAGCTCAGAAGTGAGGGGGAAGAAACAGTCAATGCCTGGTGTGCTGATGAAGGGCTGGGTGAGACCACAAAGGGGCTGCTGGCTTAGGTAGAAGGGAGCTGTGAGTGAACGTAGCAAGAGCTAAGAGATGGGGGAGAGGAGAGCCTGGGAGAGAAGGGAGTGAGGAGGATAGATAGGCAAGTCTTTGCAGGGGGTTGACTGATTGTGGGGGGAGAAGAGAAATAGGGAGGAAACAGAAGAGGGCTTGCGGCCAAGGGAAGGCTTCCTCCTTTTCTGGAACACGTAGAAATAGATGCCTGCTGAGAGCACACTCAAGGGAGATGAGAGGCTGAAGGCTCAGGTCAGCTAGTGGTGGGTGGCAGGAGGTGGGTGCGATGATGAAGGAGGTCCCCTCTGATGGCTTCAGTTTTCTTCCCTAAAGGGTGAGGTGAGGCCCCCGACAGGGAGCAAGGACAGGAGGGGCTGTGGGAGGTGTCAGGGAGGAAAAGGTTGCAAACTATCGCGTGGGAGAACAGGGTGGGGGTGGGGGACCAGGCTGCTGGCTGTGTGGAGTTGGAGATCCGCCTGGTTGTATGGATGCTTCATTCCCCGCGGCCCCCCCCCCCCCCAAGCCATGGACAGGGGGAAGAAATGGGGGTTCCCACCTTAATGGATACCTCCTAATGGGTGAGGGAAAGTGGAACCAGGGGACTGGATTCTGTAAAGAAATTCATCAGGTTGGAATACAGGTAGCCACATCTGAAATGGATTCTTGGCCAATCCGCTGTTAATCCCAGTGTGGCTGTGGAGTCTGACAGTCTAGATGAGGGCCTGGTCCTTGTCTAAACTCACTACCACGAGTCAATGCTGACTCATAGCGACCCCCTGTGGATTTCTGAGGCTGCAACTATTTACAGGAGTAGAAAGTCCAGTCTTCCTCTGGTGGTTTTGAACTGCCAACCATGCGGATTGCAGCCCAACTCATAGCCACTGTACCACCAGGGATCCTTTGGCCCATTAAAATTATTTGGGGGCAAAAAAAAAAAGATAGAGTGGTTGGAAGATTGGGTCATTCACAGTCATCCAGCTAGGAAGTGGCCTTCACCTTCAATGTTGGTAGGTGGGATAAGGGAACCCCCTGTGCCTTCTCACTTCTGTTGTCCTACTAAAGGGCTATATGTGACCTTTATTCCCTGTGAAGGTGACTCTCTAGAATGTGGGAGTAGTATGTGGTAGACACCAAGGAAGCAGGGCCTTAGCCTCATTCCTCAGTGGATGAATCACACCAAGGCCCAGGGCCCTTGGCAAGACCAGGAATGCCATCCTTGGCTCAGAGCCTTTGGCCTTCAGTCTGCACCCCCTCCCAGGCAATTGTGTGTGTGTGTGTGTGTGTGTGTGTGTGTTGGGGGGGAGCATCCCAGGGGGCTACACCCTCAGGGCTCAGGGTCTGAGAGAAGGGTGTCCTTGGAATTGGGAGGGGCACTTGACCCTGAACTGGGTGGGGGTAGGGCTCTTCCAGGGCAACCGGGCACCTGGCCCCACTTTTGAAAGGCCATTTCGGCATAAGCGACATATAAGCGACTTAAGTGAATGCAGTCACTTCCGTGAAGTTAATAGTGCAGGTTCATGCTGCAGAAAACATGGACGAGAAAACCCTGATTATTTATTCAGGCTTTAAACCGTAAAACTCCAGATTTCTCCTGCTAGCTATTTATATCCTGAGCTGGTGTATACTGTCCCCATATTAAGCTCAGGTTTGAAGTAACATAGAAGAAAAATACCAGCCATTCTCTGCTTAAAAAAAAAATCGGTTATAGACCTCTCTCGCCTGCCTAATTATCTAAGAACAGCTTGTTTGGGGGGGAGTGGTGCGGGTGGGGGAAGACACGGGCCTCTGGGGGAGGCATACTCCCCCGCACTCCCTGTCCGGCTCTAAAGTAGCCCTATTATTCTGGGGGTCGCTCTCCAGGATAGGGGTGTCTCAGGATGGATCTTGGCCGAGCTCCAGCCCTGTGCCTCTCCTCCTAGCTGGGGGCCCCGGGTGAGTGGAGGAGGCAGGGCCAACAGCAGATCCGGAAAAGTGGTTCGGCTTCAGAGGAAGTTGACCCTCCTCCTCTAGAGGGCTTGGATGGAAATAGCTTCTTCCTCTTTACCGTTCTGGAGCCCCTAGCCCCAATCTGTTAAGTCCCCTCCCTATTTCTGTGTTTACCCAACCCCCCACGACATTTCATTTCGGTCCCCTTCATTTATCTCTAAATGGCCATCGGGGTTGGCTCGAGTCGTCTCCGCTGCCCTGGACTCGACATCGGGGTAGGGGCCGTGGGCTGCTGGGGACCCCTCCCCTCAGGCCCTGGCACCAGTGGCGGGCGGGCTATTCGGGCAATCCCGCGAGTTCCCACCTCCCCCCACCCAATTAGCCAAGAGCTCTACAACCCGAGCTCCCCTCCTGCTTCCTTCCCCTCGGTAGGGGGTTGTATCCTCTGGGACCCCTGTTCCCTAGCACTGTGGTTCCCCGGCCCTCGGTGCAGCCCCAGGCCCCTCGGGAAAGGTGGGGGTGCAATTACTTTCCCCTCTTTGTATAGATCCCATTCAAACTGTGGAGTGTAATCCTCCGCGAGAAGGGGAAAGTAGTCCCGATTTATGTTTCATTTCTGCCCTCGAGTCGGGCGTATTAGACTTTTTGGAGCCGACGGGACTCTCAGTGGGGTCTTTGGGGAATGCGGGGGCCGAGGCTGCAGGCCTGCGCTCAGGTGGGAGGCTGGGGGGAGGCCAAGGAGGGGAGGGGGCGGGGAGGGGAGCTAACTCCTCGCTATTGCCTAGAGAGATGGATCATGGGGCGTAGAGAGATTGCAAACCTCAAACCACGTACAGCGGCCGATACGCGTCAACCGAACCTGACCAACGGAAGCCCAGAGCCTCCCCCCTGCTCGTGCCCCCGCCCCCGCCCCCTAGACGGACGGGAGCGGAGAGCCAACCGCCTTGTAGCTGGCCGTCCAAATCCCACAGGCGCCAATGGGAGCGCGAGGGGGGCGGAGCCCCGCGGCGTCGGGT